GGTAATTAGAAGGAAATCGAGGCTACTATGCCGGCAGAGGCCCTTTTCTAAAAAAAAGGTTGCTGCTAGTGCAATTGAACTTCCGATTTTTTATGTGACTATACTAGATCTTATCGATGCCCTTGACGTCGTGAGGCTCGGGGCTATAGCCCCGTAGCCCCCCTAGATCCAGCGCTGAGTGCAATGGCAATTGCTTGTTTCATGTAGAACAAATAATTGGTTTATAAATCTTCATTGGAATACAGTTGTTATCGCCATTCATAAACGCACAGTCTGTTTTATTGTTGTTATCTGCATTTAGCTTCCTAGTGATAAACCTAATTAATTCCCGGCACATTCCATGCGAGTGAAGTGTGGCGAAAGTTTGTCATTGAAGATGTTTTAAGTGAGTTTTAATTGGATGCTTGCTTGTCAATTATCGGCATCCAAAGAGTGAAAGTAAGTGTGCCTTTCATCAACACCAAGTTCTTCTAAGGCCGACATGGATCCCTTTTCCAGTTTCCCCAATCCATTAGCCAGTCAATTTGGCCGATTGCTCCAATCACTTCGGCCCTAACCAAAGTCCTTTCTGGATTTTCTTGGCCTTCGTCCAGTCGCCACAGCCATACATGAAATCTCTGATCGAGAAAAATGGAAACGCTGCCTGCATTGTGCCCTGCGCGCTCCACTTCTCTGGAAACTATCGATTTTCCAGAATCTGGCAGGGTGCTGTCGGTCGCCATATTGCTTAGTGCTGATCGTTGGCCCTGTGGCCCATAATTCCCACGGTGGAAAAGCCCGAATAGAAACGCGATACTTGTGAAAAACAGCCGCAAAATGGAGCGGCACTGTTGAGGATCAGCCACATCGACTTCCAGAAGTCTCAGGTAGCTATTTGCTCTGATTTTCTCAACGACAACCCGACCGTTTTGCAAATTCGCTTTGCCGTTCACGTTAAATCCCCCAAACCACCCTTGGAAGAGCGCTGGGCTCTTTTTCAGTGCTGGGAACTGGTAGGGTTCGACTAGGGCTACGGCCCCGTGGGGGTATTGATTTCTGAAGAAAAAAACGGTCTCATTGACAACAATCCTCGAATGACTTTAGAGCAGGAAGCGATCGATTTGTGGCTCCCGAACAGGGGCATTGTTTATAAAATGAGGCAGAGGATTTAACGATTTTTGTCTTTAGTTGCTTAAAAATGGGCGCAGCTGGCAGGTTAGATGGAATTTGCAGCCTCCGTAGCCAGAAGTAGATTTGGTTTCATTAAAAGAGAAGGACCACGTTTTTATCATTTTTGCCCTTTAAATGTTCGAAACATTAAATGTTCGAAACAGTTAAAGTTAACAAAAGTTCGAGAAACGTTAGAGTAAAACCTTAAAACGTACGAAGCTCATCAAGTTGACTCCAAACCAAGCCTTTGCTGCGAAAAATTTTGCTAGTCGTTAAATGTACGGCACCTCCAAAGATATGCAGTGCAGAAGTCCAAGAAAACTTTTTAAATAACTTCAAATTCAGAAACAATCAAATAATTCTGTGCACATCAGTAGAGAGAGGGAAGCATTGTGTATAAAAATAGAGGTCCTTACAAATTCGCTAAAGTGAACCCTGCACAATTTTTTTATTTCAGGCCAAATTTTGAGGAGTGTGTGGCAATTCACCCATTTAGATCAATTGCAATTGTCGCATACTTAAATGGAAAGTCTGAAAGTAACATTTTCACTAAAAAAAGTTGTACCAAGCCCTTGGGGCACGCCACTGGTATAGAATACCAATTTTTTGACCAAGCTGGCAACAGTGTGTTTTTCGTTCGTTTGAACGTTAATGTTGCAGAAAAGTCAGCTCCCGACATTTCTGCATAAGAAACCTCTAGAGTTGAAAAAATTTGGAAGAATTTTCTTATGTGAAAACTTTTTCAGTGATTTTTACGTTTGAATTTTTGCTTCCAAACGATGCTTCCTATCAAGAAAGGCTTTTCTTCATAACATGTCCGGCTGCCCAAAATACATACAGTGTATTTTCGTTGCATTTCCCGTAGTTTTTTTTTACTTCTACGCAAATTTTCAGCAATTTTGTCTAAATTTCACACATTTTAGACAACTTCAATTGATGCAAAATTCTTCTAGTCAAGTGGAAGTCTTAGAGTAACACGTTCACTGAAAAGTTTTAAAGTTTCGAAAGTAGAGCATCCTCAGTTACCACTGAACCATCCTGATCTATAAACATCAAGCCGTAAACCAAACTGGCATCAGTGTTTTTTTGTTTTTTCGCAAATAATCTCTTTGTCATTTGCGGGACTTTTGAGCTTCAGATATGGGAGACTTTAGAATGTTTTTTATGCTAAAACATGTTAGCAGTTTTAACAGGTTTTTCTATTCATCGAAGCTTTCTGTCAAAAAGCGTCTTCTTCATAAAATGTCCGGATGCTCAAAAGACAAGCAGTGGTGTTTGCAAAATTATTTTGGAATAATCGCTTTATAAAAAATCACAAAAAGCATTGTTTCCAAAAAATCCAGATAGATTCAAAACCAAAAACAAGCAACCAAATTTTAAGCAATTTTTTCACATTTTTACTCATTTTAGACAATTACTGTTGAGACAAAACAGCACTAGTAAAGTGAACTGTCAAACCAACATTTTTTCTAAAAACCGGTTTAAAAGTTTGTAGGAAAAACATCCTCAGATTCCACTGACCCACACTATTCTGTGCTTAGGCACAAATTAATGCCGAAGTTGTGGCGAGCCCTCCGGGCACGGCACTGGCGTGGTAAAACAAACTGTAAACGAAGCTGGCAACATTGTGCTTTTTGTTCCTACCAGTGGCGTGCGTATTTTCTTGTACTCTAAACTCCCATTCCTCACATAGATTTTCCTTTCTTCGTACAAATTACTTTTTGGAAGGAACCTTCAGAGATCGAAGCATTTGGGACAATTTTTGTTGCCAAAACTTTTTCAACGACTGCTCTATTTTCTGCTTTCTAAACAAAGTTTACTGTCAAAAAATGCGGCTCTTCATAAAATATCCGGCCGCTCAAAAGATCTCAAATAATAAAGCTGAAAATCATAAACTTTCTTAATCAAAAAGCATTGTTTACAAAAATTCAAAAACCTCAGTGGGAGGAATTAAATACAAACAACTGGATAGAGGGGACCAATGCGTATAAGAAATTATATTCATTTTTTCTTTAGCGCTGCGAGCCGGTGTTGATTGCTTGATTAGAAAACCAATTGGGTTGAAATTTCACTCATTTTCTAGTGACGAATCAACTGAAAATTCCCACTTCACAGTCCCATTAAAGTAGTGCAAAACAATCAATTGCATCCTGCAGCTTTTTTTCTAACGCTTGATTTACAGGCGATAACTTTTCAAAAAATATAATTATCTTTTTCTTTTCAGGCCACAAAATGGCACCCCGCATTAGTTCGCTGTACAAGCGAGCGGTAACCGTACCACCCCACCTGAACAAAATGAGCACCGAAGATACTACCAGTATGGAGGAAAAGTTCATCGACGTTTCGAGCTCATTGTCGCCCTCAGACGCGCCAGCTGAAGGTCCCCATATCTTTAATAATAGATCATATCATCCATCTCATGGTCGCACCACTCCTTTTGTGGTAGTACCAGGTAGAGCTTAATAATGACTTAAGTAAGATGTGCACTCACACTCAATCACACACTATTGCACACTCTTTGAGCTCGCGCGTGCAGTAAAATCCTGCAGAATTCGAAATTTTCTGCCCCCATAGCGTCTATTGACCTATTTTCCTGGCGGGGTCACGAAAGCTATTGGGAAAATCGATTTTTTCTTTAAAATTCTACTCAGAGCATAGACCATTAGGGGACATACTGGGCGATTAATTGTGGGCAAGGATGACTTCCAATTCAAAATTTTAACGTAACAACCTAAAGCATTTCAGTGCACTTTGCATTTGAATGCATAACAAATCCATGACCTAAATGGATCAATTTTCCATCAACAATTAGCGCTGTTAACGAGTATGTATGTACAGGGTTATTGATTGAGCTTTGGCCACCCCATCTTAACATTTAATTTGAAATTTAGAGAAAAATGTTACATACAAAAGTTGTAGATATTAACGTCCAGTTTATTTTAAGATAGCATCAATTGATACAGGGTGTTTCAGCCTCAAGTGAAAGAAACTTACTTTTTTTAAATGGAATGCTAAATGTAAAATCTTGCGATTTTTTGGACATTTGACGTTTTATTTTTTTTTTCTCGAAAACGATGCTTCCTGTCGACCAAAGTTATTCTTTATAAAATCTCGGGATCATCGGGTACTATCCAAAGGTATTTTTAAAATTTGACAAGTTTCATAGTTTTCGAGAAACTCGCGAAAATATGATTTCCAATAAACTGCAAATATATCGATAACGAAAGAGCTGATGTCAATCTAATTAGTCCAGTCGATCGGCCGTCTCAAGTTCTATAAAAAAGTCGGAATTAACTTTTTCACTACGATTGATAATAAACGAGCAACTGACGATTTTGTAATGCATCCAAAATTTTCGGGAAAAATTTTCGAAATTTTCTCCAATTTTGGAATGTAAAATTTTGTAAAAGTTGATTCGTATTTGTCTCAATACAAATTGGTGTCAATTTGAACCAATTCCAATGTCATTTGACAATTTTGAAAATTTTCCTTCCATAAGAGCCTGCACAAAATTTTTCGTTTTTTCCCTATAGCTCTCAAAGAATTTTTTTAACCGACCAAAGTTGATTTGTCATGTAACTTTTCCGTATCTAAGCATCTGTCAACGAATAGTTTTTTTTTAAATTTTCAACAAAAATTTTGGTGGGTGAAAGAAACCCTTGCAATTTTTTCGAAACTTTACATTTTATTTTTTTTATCGAAAACGCAGCTTTCTGTCGACAAAAGTTATTCTTTATAAAATTTCGGGGTCCTCGGTCACTATCTAACGGCATTTATGCACTTTTTCAGCTTTCATAGTTTTCGAGAAAATCGCAATATCAATATCAAAATCAATGGCAAATATTCAAAAAACTGCAAATATCTCGGTAACCGAAAGAGCTGAACTCAATCTAAGCAGTCCGATCGATTGGCCGCCTCAAGGTCCATAAAAAATGTTATTATCTTTTTCGCTACGATCGATGATAAACGAGCAACTGATGATTCTATAAAAACATGCAAAATTTCGGGAAACATTTTCGAAATTTTCGAAACAATTTTGTGATGTCAACTTCGGTCAAAGTTTGAGTCAAAATAGGGCGTTTCCACTGATCCGAAGCAATTCATTACACTTGAAAAATTACTTTTTTCTTACCTTTCACCAAACGTAACGTTTCATAAAGAAGGTAAGTTTGGTCTGTCACTTGAATTTGAGACACCCTGTATCAATTGGTACTACGACTTATGTATTTAACAAATTTCTCAAAATTCCAAATTAGATGCGAAAACGGGCTGGCCAAAGTTCAATCAATAACCCTGTACACGACAATTGCATTAAAACTGCATACTTTGCCTAATAAAATATGCGCTGAACTGAGCACTCCCTGGTAAAGCCGACATTACTAACATTGCCGCATTCTCGGCACACAACTATGGAACCAGTTAAGCCCCAAAACCCGAACCCCCCAAAATGGTACCCACTGTTTCAGTATTGGGTTCTAGGGGCGCTGTTTGCCTGCATAGATCTCACCCACCTAATATCGTTTGTTACAGAAGCAAAGCCCACCAATGGCACCATCGTCAAGGAAAACATCCTGCAGGATGCGATGGACAAGCTACAGAAGGAGACTAATATGGACCAATGGGTGCTGGTCACCATCCTGATTGGTAAGTCGATGTTCTTCTATAGCGGGAGAAAAATTGAGGTTTGTTCTGGCGCAGCCGTTTCTGCAGTGATTCTGGGCATCTGCTTCTGCTGCATAAGGCGATGCTTCCGGAAACGCCGCTCAAAGGACAAGAAGGGCATGAAGGGGGCCGACCTCAAGTCCATCAACCTGCTGGGGTCTTCTTACAAAGAACAGGTGAGAATGGGGGGAGAATTTGGTCGGTTGGGGTTCTAAAATAATTGAGGGCCTTCAGGTGCAGCCCGATATGGATGAACTGACCGCTAATGCTGAAGAACCGGACGAGAGCGACAAGCCGGAGGTGCAGAAACTGGGAAAACTGCAATTTAAGGTAGAATTTTTAGTGGTTTTGAGTGTTGAGTGAACTTGATTTTCCTTTTTCTTTTCTCCCGTCTTATGGTTTTTAGTTTCAATCTACGACTTTCCTTTTCCTTTGAAAACTTTTGATTCAGTTTCTGTTATGTTGCCTATTTTGATGATTTTGTTAGTTAGTATGTGTTTTTAGGGATTTTGGCCGGTAATTTTTTCACTTGGAGTAGTAAGTACCCTAAGTTGGGACAAAGTCAGGATTTACTGTCACTTAATTAGAATTTTTAGAGCTTTTACTATCAAGCATCCTACATAAGCTGTAAGTTTTTCAAATTCCTGTTTAATCCCAGTCTGAAATTGGAACTGTTTTGACCAGAACGTGCACTTGCGAGATCAAACTCATTTTTTTTAGTTGCGTTTACACAGTCGGCAGAAAACAGGTTTCAACTAAAAGAAAATTTCAAAGTTTTCACGATCAAATATCTTTTATAAGCTGAGAGATTTTAAGTTTCTGCTTCTGCTGGGGAGGACGGATGGTAAACATTTTCTTAGTAGGAAGGTTAGCTTGCTTGGAAACATTCATTTTTATTGCGTTTTCAAAGCCAGAAAAATATAATTTTAGTGTGTCTTAAATGTAAAATCTTCGGACTTTTTAGTACCAGATGTCTTTTATCCATTGAGAGTGTTTTAAGTAGCTGCTTCTGCAGGGTCAAAGGTTTCAAATTTTTGGACATGAGCCCTCACTTGCTTCAAAACGTTATTTTTGGCGAAAAAGTCGGAAAAACTCTGTATCTACTGCCTCTTAATAAAATTTTCACGGTTTTTATAACGTTATGAGTTTCACAAACTGTAATAATGTACAGTTTCTGCTGTTTCGAGTTTCAAGTTGGGAAATTTTAGACCAGAACGTGCATTTGTGTGGAAAAGTTAAATTGATTTTTCATTTTTCTTTCCTCGCCTCTTCACTGCTTCGTTATGGTTTTGAATTTCAATCATTTCAATAACTTTCCTGTTCCCTTGAAAGCTTTTGATTTAGTTTACATAATGTTGTCCATTTTGATTATTTCGTTAGTGAGTAAATTGGAGAACAAAATTATGTTTTTAGAGCTTTTCTGCCTTAGTGGAATATAATTTCTTCCTGACGTGACGCGATTCTGAAGATGCAAGCCACTCGTGTGTGCGAAACGTCAGGAAGGAATTTTATTCCACGACGACCTAAAAGCTCCAGAAAGTCATTAGGTACAAGCTATGGCCACAAAGGTGGAAGATGGGCCACAAAGGCCACATGGGCCACAAGGGCCACAAGGGCCACAAGGGCCACAAAGGTGGAAGGAAACAAACGTTCAAAGACTTCTTATAAACAATTGTGATAATTTAGATTTTTAAGTTTAAAATCGTTTTCTTAGCACAGTTTTAAACTTATCAATATGACGTACTTAGTTGGGAAATCATCTTGAATATTATAAGATTTTTTTAGCGCCCAAATATACAAATGAAGAATTGTTTTCCACTGCTTAGCGGGCACATAATTTTTCGATTAAGGCAAAATTCTCCGAAAGCCGTAAATTTTTCCTTATTTCAAAAATCATCTGCCCGCTTAAGTCCCATAAAATCCCTTGATTAGAAATTATGTTTCATAATGCAATTGCAAAGAAAATAGCATCTCATAATTATTTATTTAATGTAAAAAATAGACAAAAAACCGTCAGTAACTACAACTAAAACCACAGTGATTATTCTCAACTTTGCACGTTTTTACCTCGTATGGCGTTGATTTGAGACGTTTTTTCCCGGTGTACACAAAAATCTTCAATATCTAGCGACTTTGCCCTGGTTTTCCCTGGACTCTTCAGTTGCGATTGTTGAAAAATCAACTGAGATTCACTGTCAATCTCTGTGGAATTGTGGACACTTTTCTGTAAATTCCACTATCAAAGTGAGAGTTAACTCCGAAAATGAAATTGCAGCTGGAGTATGACTTTAACCAAAACAGCTTGTCCGTGACAGTCATCCAGGCTGAAGACTTGCCCGCTCTAGACATGGGAGGCACTTCAGATCCCTACGTCAAAGTCTACCTGCTCCCAGACAAGAAGAAAAAATTCGAAACCAAAGTGCACCGAAAAACTCTAAATCCCGTCTTCAATGAGACCTTCGTCTTCAAGGTACCAAACATCATGGTGTTTGTTGTTGAGTAGTTTTTTAACACTTCTTCGTTTTCTTCCAGGGAATGCCCTACGCTGAAGCCATGAACAAGACGCTTGTATTCGCGATCTTCGACTTCGACCGCTTCTCCAAGCACGACCAAATCGGCGAAGTGAAGGTGCCTTTGTGCCAGATCGATCTGGCTCAAACTATCGAGGAATGGCGAGAACTCCAAAGTGTGGAAGGCGAGGGTGGCCAGGTGAAATATTTTGTTTTTCTTTGCGCTCAGGGGGTGATCAACCGGTTTCTTTTTGTTGAAAACACTTCAAATCGAGCTGATCAAATTTGAATTTGGCGCCCCATCACTTCAAAATATGACAATGCCTCTTGGACAAGGTCTCATCCATTGAACCAATCAATATCGTCTATTCAAATATCATTATTCAGTTGCCGTGGCAACCACTAGTGTCAGCTGTGTCAATGTGTTTGTCATTAAACGGACATTTATATATATCTTGGGACCTCCGCATTCAAAACCATGTTTCTCAACCTTCAACGCCCCAGTTGATAAATTTGCACCCAATTTCACTCGAATGCTGATCAAGATTCTTCAGCATCTGTACTGTAATGGCCTTTGGCGTTCTGGGGCATGAATCACTAGATGTTTCATGGGGTCAGTTCTCTGATTCCCATGAATGTACATTTCAAGAACATCAGAGGCATTGAAAATCGTACTGCCCCAAGAAACACCACCAATAAAACTCGTTAGTAAAAGAATCATCTACAGGGTAAGCACTATTTTACTTTAAACGCTAAGAAGTTCTTGAAAATTACCGAAAGAAGTGCTGTAGCGTTTCTTATACAAGAGGTTTGATTCTACTAAGAGTGGCAGGCGAAAAGTAATTTTTCCATCGAGATTGTTAATGATGATTCAGTAGTATGCAAACAAAAACCACTGTCTGTGTTGAGCCAAATGGGGCGAAATAATAGCCCTACCTATGACCACCATTTGGTGGCCATCTCCTTCCATTCTTGTAACTGCTTAACATTAATCAAATTTTTTGGAGCCAAATTCAAATGTATGATACCGAAGCAGAATCTGCAACACCTTCTAATCAACGAAAAGAAACAGTTGTTTGTTTTGGGGTGTAAATCGCTGTTATTTAAATGAACCATACACCCAGTTCGGACCGAAACTAGCTGACTTGGTTGCACCAGTTCTCACAAAAAACACTCAACAGTGGAAATTCTTCAACCGACGAAAGAACTGCTTAACGAGTGTTTCAAAATTCAATCTTTAACATTATCTGCACACAAAAGCTGCGTTCTTGTGTTATACATATGAAGCTTTGTTTGATTCAGTGTACTGAGGGGGGAGCTTTTATCATTTGTTTCTTAAGGACATTTACAGGTTTCGAGGACACACTTTTCAGTTGAGGCCCCATGCAGTGATCAACATTTACTTACTAATCCAACACTTGATGGACCAATTTAAAACGTTGCGCATTTCGTGTTGTTTTAACTTGGTCCATACCACCACACTCCAAACTCAAAGCAGTGGACATTATATATTGACGTAAACTATTTTCTCTTTTTCCTAAAATTATCTCGTTCTGCTTTGATTGGCTGTGTTTCTGGTTGTGCCCGGCGCATTTGTGCATGATCTGCTTCCAATACGATCACTTTACTGTTCACGTAAGTATATTTCATCGTATATTGGTTCTCCATATGCAAAATCCTTTCTCCCGCCATCAGCGGTTTCATCCGACAGAGGATTTTGCATTATCATAAATGTTTACCGAGGCAGGCAGTAGCTGATCTTGTTTGTCATGCCGGAGGGATGAGCCACTGCCTTCCTTCAATTCTACTTAATTTACATTGTAGTCCTGATGTTTAAGCCACCAAATCAACGCTCCTCAAATGCAGGCTGCATCTGCAGGCACGTTGCTCGGGTTGTTCTTTGCATATTTACTACCACTCTATCGATATCTGCTCTTATTATATGGATTTCTTCAAGAGTCAGTCACTCTTGTGCATTTCCATTCTCTGAACAAATTGTATCTAAAATATTCGTTGTCTGCATTTCAGCCCCGAAAACTAGGTAGAAATAGGAATCAGGTTTTTATGGCAACAAGCGATTTGCTGCTGTAAAATCCCTCATCCGAACTGTTCAATTCATGTACAGGGTGCCGCTTTTTAATGCTTTGTGAGGAGAGCTTCTAAACTAAAGAGGGGGAGAGTCGCTTAAATGAGTCTTGTGGAGTGAGTTTACAGGAAACTTAACATAAATCACTGTGATTTCTGAATTATCCAAAGTGTCTAAATTCAAACTGTGCACATAATCTGCAACAGAACAGTTTTGAAAAAAAAAATTTTTTGAAAAGTTGATGCAGTTTAGGCAATAGGCTAAAAAGTGCGCGCCAGTGTTTAAAAATTCGCTACTCGCACATTTCTGCAGATTTAAACCTATACTTTTGGATTTTTGTAGAGGAAGCCTTTATTTGACAAATAGAGAGAAGCTTAATCCATTGTGTGCCATTATTAAATTTCGGGATTTTTTTAAAATGCCATGTAATTTAATCAAAAACCTTTTATATGATTTTGTTTAATTCTGATGCCCCTAATTTAGGTCGTGGCTTCAAAGGTGCACGCCAGTGTTTAAAATCTCACAACTTAGAAACTTTGGCAGATCTAAGGCTACACTTTTGGTGTTTTGTAGAAGAAGCCTTCGATATCAAACGAACAGAATTTCAGCATGTAAACTGCTCGTATTAACTATCAGAATTTTTTTTTAATGACCGTGCACCTGATGGTTCAAAAATACACAACTCGGAAAATTATGCAAATCTAACTCTCTCATTTTACGCATTTGTCGGGGAATCCTTAATTGTTTAGTGAACAACTAAATTTAGTAGGCGCTTGCGTTAACTATCTAGACTTTTTAAATGCGATGTATATCGATAAGTGTCTAAAAATTTACAACTCGCGAAATTTGGCAGATCTAACACTTCAATTTTATACTTGTCGAGCATGTTTTATTTATTAAGGGCACAAAATTTCAGTCTTTTAGGCACTTGCATTAAATTTCTATATTTTTTTTTAAATGCGATGTAATTTAGACAATAACCTAAAATGTACATGTAAGTGTTTAAAAATTCACAACTTGCAAAATTTGGCAGGTCTAAGGCTCCGGTTTTACGAATTTGTCAAGGAAGCCTTAGTTATTAAGGGGACAAAATTTCAGTCTTTTAGTTGCTTGCATTAACTTTCTGGATTTTTTTAAATGCGAAATCCAGGCAATAACCTAAAATGTACGCGAAAATGTGTAAAATTTAACAATGCGGAAATCTCAGTTGATCTAAGGCTACTATTTTACACACTTTTCGAAGAAGCTTTAGTTATTACGTGTACCAAATTTCAGTCAGGCGGTCGCATTCACTTTCTGCGATTTTTTAAATCCGATGTATTTTAAGCCAAAAGACTATATACATATTTTTGATTTTTTTATCGGGAAGCGTTAGTCATCAAATGGACAAAATTTCAGTCGATTAGGTGTCCGCATTCTCAATCTGGAATGTTTCTGCTTCTTTTTAAAAAAGTCCAATGTAACTGTTTTTTTTTACTGTTTAAAAATTTAAAACTGAAATCGCGAATTTTCGGCTGATTTAAGACTAAGCAGTAATTAATTCTTTCATGGGCCAACGTTTCGAATTTATTCAAGTCATCCTCAGGGCTCTATGAAGTCAGTGCCATATTTACTCAAGGGTAACATGCTTCTCAAGGTCAGTCTAGTAATACTAATCAGTCTAGTCTGCCTTGAGAAGCATGTTGCCCTTGAGTAAATGTGGCACTGACTTCATAGAGCCCTGAGAATGACTTAAATAAAGTCGAAACGTTGGCCCCTGAAAAAGTTGTGTTTTATTTTGCCACCATCCGTTGACCGAAAATCCCACTATCAAATAATTAATTACTAATTATCATCACGGTCACTAATCAGCCACAACATAATCTAAGACTAAGGTTTTATAAAATTATCGACGAAGTATTACTTTCACTTCGAAAATTTCAGTCCTTTCGGCGCTTGCGCACTTTCTAGAAATTTAAAAAGTCAGACATAATTTAGGCAACGATCTCAAAGATGCACGGCAACGCTTAAAAACTCAAGCCTCAGCAGATGCAAGATTGCAATTTTGTTCATTTATAGAGGAAGCCTTAAACGCATATAATTTCAATCGTTTTTGGACTGAGATTTACTTTCCGGAAATTTTTGAAATCCGACGTAATTCTGGCAATAGTCAGTCTTAAAGGTGCACGCTCATGTTTAAAAATCTGCAACTTGCAAAATTGAGCAAATTGAAGGCAAAATTTTTTAACTGTTTGTAGAAGACCTTATTTATTAACGGCACAGTATTTGCTCTACTGAAAATATCTGTAAACCAAGATTTTTAGACGCTCAAATGCGGCTGAAAACCCACAAAACGGCACTCTAAATGGTCTAGTTTAGAACATCCTTTCACTAAGCAAGAAAAAGCTTCACCTTGTATAAGACAGTAACTCCCAAATGGAGTTTCCAGCTTCGCCAATCCAAACAAGGTGAAAAGTCAAATATTTTGGATACAAATCGCGAGTAAACATGACTTGCTCTCACCAACCTGTTTTACTTACTATTCAATATTTTTATCTGCATGACCCTCTTTTTGTTGGCATTTTGCATCTCTGGCTGGTTATTTGTTAATCGACAGTTTAATTGTTAACAACCAAGGTGAGTTTGGAGCCGTTTCGTTCGATTGTTCGATCAAACTGCGCATCCACATTTAAACCGGCCGCGCTTTTGGCGAGTTTTATCGAACATGGAAACTCATCTGCAAAACATTCTACTCTTGGTCTTCGAAAAACATACGAGTTGATGGTTTTCCAATTTTTTCCTTCCAGCATGCCAGCACCAATTAGTTAGATGAAACAGCACAGTACATAATTTTTCTCAAGGCACCCAATGTGAAACCAATAAAACGCGAAGTCATCAAGCAGATCACGGCCAACGAAACAGCAACTTGCAATCGAGTTAATAAGCAAAGCTTGGTTTCACATTGTTCCAGGGAACCCAATTTCTTGCTAGTTATTGGTAAAAAAATATCCAGACTCTCTGGAATTTCCCGATGTCTCTATAAAAAGGTACTCTTTCACACACAAGTTTCTCTTAGCCCTTAGTACGCAATACATGTTTCAACTAGCCCTTTTACATAGATCAACAAATTCCATGCTGTTTCCAATAGACGTTAGTGTAATGTGTACTTAAGTTAAGCGCGATCTGAATCCAGGCCAGAATCCGTCCGAAATGCGTAAATAGGGTTTGAGCTGGGTGTTTCCGCGCTATTTAGGCGACACAACCACATTCCTAATCTAACAATGCAGACAAGTTTTAGATACGATTTACTTGATTTTACTTTATGCCAAAACACCGTAAGGTAACCGAGCTATTTAGGGTTCCACCTACAAGAACACGACTTTCCTTTTCGTTGTGCACTTGGAACCGCACGTGGTTCCGCTACTGAAATTTGTTACCAGTGTGCTCCCAACCCCCCCGGACTGTATTTATATGTATATACAGGGTGGCTGGAAATTATTGTGCAGCAGTTTTCTGGCTGCGTTTTATGCCACTCTAGATCGAATTGGCGTATATTTAATTAATATCTCGGTATATGTACAGATGAGGTAATTTACCCCTTTTACCTGCTTAAATTTTGACACCGAAACTACAATTATCACGAAATACGGTTTCAGCGAACCTATAAGAACATCATCTGGGATAAGTCAGGGCGATTCTTTAAGTCCTGCTACCTTTAATCTGATCGCTTATCAGCTGAAAAGAACCAACTCGCTGCAAACTTCAGGATCTTTTCAAAAATTGGATGATTGAAATACGTAACACTGTGTTGAGTTGCGCTATTGAGTTGGCGCTACCTAAGTTAACGAGTAATAACTCATCGGTTAATGAGTTATAAGTAATTTATTAAAGCTTTACGAGACCCGAGACTGGAATTTTCACATCTAAAAAAAAGGTCTACATTCCTTCTGAGTAACGTTTTACTACTTTGTTTAAACAACTAAAAAAAGTAATCCAAATTTTCCCAGCAAAAGAACTGAGTCCAAAGAAAGTCGACGAGTTTTCTTGTAAAATCAATCTCGTAATAATTTTGTGGCATAAAAGATTCAATTTGCCAGTATTTTACAGTAACACGTTAGGAAAAACCCGGTTTTTATGTTTAGTGATAGTGTTGTTTCGAAATATTGACCTAAAAGTGAAGAAACCCCAATATCCAAGAGTTTTCCAAATAAATGATTATGAACCTTGGCTTTTACAGTTCGGGGAAATAATTTTGGAAAAGAACCAGTATTAATTATTAGGGTTTTGTCGATAATTCGAAGCTGAAAAAAGTTTTTCAAAAACGTTTGCGAAGGGGTTAAGGAGATGAGTGTTCCAATAAAATCTATCTTATAATTTTTTACAGAAAATACCTGAAGTTTGTCAGTATTGTAACTAAATAACAATGCGATTTTTCCGCAGAAAGAATTGCTTAATAGAAACTTTGTTAAAACTAGAATGACCTGACAATTTAAAAGAACTTTAAATATCTTCAGAGCGATGATTTTTCAAGATAATCATCTTAATTACTTTCGATAAAAAACTGAATACAATTATTTGATTTTTGTGCCAAATTCGAAGCTGCAAAAAGTTTTCCAAAGGTCCCTGCAAACCGATGAATGAGGCGAATTTTCTATCTAAATGTCTAAAAAAAAATTTTTTTTAATCAGAAAATAATGGTTTTTGCGTTTTCGATTAATAAATGGTTTTCGGGGCAAACGGGACTAATTTATTTTCGTTTTTGGCTCGAATTCGATGCTGAAAAAAGTTTTTGTTAAATTTTTACAAAGCTTATAAATGTATCTTCTAATTTTTCGCGTAAAAGACTTCCAGATCGTCAATATTTTTAAGTGAAACTCTACAAAATAGAGCGTTTTTGAGTGGAATGTAGAGGAAAAAAATCAGTCAAAACTAAAAAACCACGTTTTTTTTAACAAGCTCTCCAGTCTTCAGAAGAATGGAAGTGACGAACTTTCCAAATAATCTGTTATAAACTTTCGCTTATTTTGTTCGTTTTTTGATAGAAAATTACTTGATTTTTGTTCCAAATTCGACGCTGGACAGGGATTTCAAAACGTTTTACAAAGCGACCAAGGCTCCGAAATTTATTTCATAATTTTTCACGGAAAATACCTACCTTAAGTTTGTCAGCACATTTAAGTGAAATTTTAGAAAATTGAGCATTTATAAGAAACTTGGCTAAAACTGGAAAATTCTGAAATTTAACGGAAATGTTAAAAATATTATTACTAAATAGCTTAAAATAAATCTAAAAACTAGTAAAAAAGTCATCAACATTTTCCCGGACGACGGAACTGAGTTAATGCGCCGGTGCGTTGGGTTGGCGCGTAGCACTGGGCCCACTCCTAAAAATTCACGGACTTACCCAGGCCTAGATTGAACAGATGATGACATTCAAATATCTTGGATGTCAGTTACGGAGTGGAGGACCAGGCAATCGAAGGTACGATAGCATCAGCATGGAGGAGTACATGAGCACAGAAGCCAAGGTAAAGATCTACAACACGAGTCGACAGAACAAAAACAGAGCAGCTATTAAGATAATCGGAAATGAAGACGCTGATTTCTATTCTGGGCCTGACTCTATGAGACAAAATAAGAAGCAAAAAGATCAGAGAAGAGTGGGAGAGCCAACATGTTGTCAAATGGACAAAAGATCGCAGTTGGCACCGGAACGAACATGTGGATAGAGCCAACGAGGAAGGATTAATTAAAATAGCCCCGAATGAAAGGTCAGCAACCAAGTGACCGAGGGGTAGACCGCCGAAAAGCTGGAAGTCATTTTCAAGCGAGACGTGAGGCGTGTGTAGAAGACCAGGCGCAAGCCTATCAAAAACATCCCTTTATCGAAACATCCCTTTGGAGGTGTCTTCAGCTAGCAAGGACAAAACAGTCGTAAGCCACTTTTAAAGTATAGCAAAGCAGGACGGCCTTGGTCTTGGTGTTGTGGTTGCAAACCTAATTTTCTCATTTATACTTCACTTTAGTGTTGGTATGTAAAGCGCTTAAAACCGTGTCAGTTTGCTGCCTACCAGAACAGATTTAATGCGGCTTAATATCGTGAGCTTCGCAAGTCGCTTTCAAAAGTCTTGGAGCATTCAGAAAACCAAGCGAACATTAATTGCGAAAGCATGCAGCTAAAGAACTGCGCCCAAAATTTCGGCCACCCAGTATATCACCCCTGTATCGTAACCACATCCCAGCTTGATAACACCTAAGTCTTGATTGCGCATGCAAAACTCCAACGGTGTGACTTTGTTTCTGTTTTCATTGTCTGTTTGTTTCCTTTTTTTTAAATCTCCATGTATTCCATTTAATGCGAGTTGCCAAAAGCCCATCAAGCTCTGGTCTCTTTGTCTTACCGCTCTAATCCACGACCATTGGGGCTGCAAAATGCCGAATGGCTGGATGCGAGCCAAATGAGGCCCAGGTTCCAGCCATTGGCGTTTCGAAGGGATAGCAACCAAGATTTAGCTGTAATTGAGCTTGAAAGGACCGTGCGCTAATTCAGCTTACTCTACCGTAACCTATTGCAGGACAATAAGTTGGGAGACATTTGCTTTTCTTTGAGATACGTGCCGACCGCAGGAAAACTGACCGTCGTCATTCTGGAGGCGAAGAATCTGAAGAAAATGGACGTGGGCGGTTTGTCTGGTAAGCGCCAGCTTTCAAATTGAAAGACTATTCAGTATCAAAAGCCCTTTGCTACTTAGATCCCTATGTCAAAATCGCCCTAATGCAAAACGGTAAACGGTTGAAGAAAAAGAAGACCAGCATCAAGAAGTGCACCCTGAACCCCTACTACAATGAATCATTCACTTTCGAGGTACCATTCGAGCAGATACAGGTACCAAACGAAATCAGCCAAAACTGCGAAAAAACTTATCGAATTTTTTTTTTATTAGAAAGTCAACCTAGTCATAACGGTGGTGGATTACGATAGAATCGGCACTTCTGAACCAATTGGCAAAGTAGTTCTGGGCTACAATGCGAGTGGTACCGAGCTGCGCCACTGGTCCGACATGTTGGCTTCGCCTCGCAGACCCATCGCTCAGTGGCACACGCTGAAGGACCCGGAAGACGAAAAGAAGGACTAAACATTCGAAACGACGCCTATTTAATATATACCTTGCATATGGTAAGAAGCACCTTATAACTGGTCAGAGGCTTTTTCATTGCTTTCGGACTTTCAGAGTATTAATGGAAGCCCCCAAATCCAAGGCAAGACTAGCCCTATCTCAAATTTGTTGCTGCATATACCTGTAACTATGTTTATAACTTAGAGCTAGAGTTATTAGGACTTTCCCACTCCCAAAACTTTCTTCGGCTTCGGATATTTGTGCAATCGCTCATTTCATCATCCACTTTAATGCCTTAACTTTAACGAATGGAAAAAGAGTTTCGCTAACCCGATGGCACACAGTTACTTTTAGGGAATTCCCGTAGGTCTAGAGAGTTGGACAAGACAATAGAAACTTAAAATTAACAACTAGATTATAGTTGTTTCTAAATAAATAACGTGTAAAGAGGTGCAACCATTTGTAATGCCGTTAAGTAGTATTTTACACTGTATTAAACCTAGAGGGACTGTTGAAGTTTAGAAGAGCAAACATCATTTCATTCAATATGTGTTTCAACGCCCCATCATATCATTCTATAGGTAAGCGAGCATTTGTTTGCATCGAACGAACGGAACGAATTATAATTAATATTTATCTTATCTGATACGATGAAGTAAATTGGGCGAATGTTCAGTTTAATTCGTTCCGTCTGTCAGATGCTAGCGAATGCTCGCTTACGATAAATTTTCTTTTGGTTTGCCATTATTGTAAGATAGCAATTCCTCCATAGAATGTATATATTTAGTTTTCCAAACAGGCGGTTTTTTTTCAAATCAACCAGCTGAAACAAACACAAATAAAGGAAAAAGTCTATTGATGCCGGACAACATTTTCAATGTAAATACTTAGATAGTTGATTTTGCCTTTATTATGTAACGGATACTCTTTTTCTGTAAATAGAGCCTCTAAACACAGCTAAAAACCAGTTACTAGATGTACTTACATTAACATTTCATGTATTGTATTATACTTAAAACGTATACCTACTTATAGATGTAAAATGTGTGTGTTTCGTTGGTTATTCACTTCTATATTTTCGGCTATATTTTCATGAATTGAAAGTCACTATAGATAGGAAATAAGCTGGCGTTTTGGAGCTTAAAGCAGCAGCAAAATGCACGTTGTTGATTCGCGTTTATAAACATAAGTATAGAGTTGAACTGAGTAGAAAGTGCACTAAAGGCTCTATAGCAGAGATGGCAATACTTGTTTAATACCTCTATAATAGACCAGTAGGTTTTAAGGGACAAGAGTTTATTTTAAAAAGCCTGCAAAGAGAGTGTTTGTTTTCATTTATGCTTCCAGACTTAAGTAGCATGTTATTTTAGTTTTAGCTCTAGAATATCTACTAGTGGAGGCTCTTTTGCCAAACGTTAGTCCAACCGGAGGGGAGATTCGAGTGTTTCTTTCCCGGCTAGAGTTAAAAGCATGTTGTAAAAGAACTAAAATGTTGTATAGTGTTTATTCAGTTAACGATCTGAGTTGTTTTAAAATGAACAATAAAAAGATAATATAAAATGTAAAATTTAAAATAAACTGTGGCAATCTGTCGCTCTTGTTAAGCTATTAGGCGTAATAAACCATATCACCTTTCCTGTTGACGAAGGCTGTATTTTTTCCCAAATCACGCTAGGAATTGTCGTTGTAATAGCGGCGCTTCATGGTGCGGTATTTTTTCAGCATGTACAGTGCCTCCACCTCTTTGGTCACAAACTCCCCGTGCTTGATCATCTTTTCCACCTTTTCCCCATCGGTTTCGGCGCGGTTTTTCAAAAAGGCCCCATGCAATCGCGACCGGAACAATTCATAGCCGGCTGGCCAATCTTTACCCAGATGCAACAGCTGGAAATTTGCACAAAAGCTCACTTGAGGTGTATATGGGGCCGGAAATGTTGGCTACTTCTTACTGTTTTGTATAAATTGATCACGCGACTTCTCTGCGCTGAAGACATGATTTCTGCAAACGAATGTCGAGGAATTATCGCCGAGAGAAATTTGGGATTTTTTTCAGAATTTACAGCACTTTATTTACTTAATTCACTAGAAGGCTGTTTGGTATCAGCAACTACGGCGAACTTTAAACTTTGCCCCCTACGCACAGGAAAAATTCAATTTTACAACTAAGGCAGCCAGTATGAGCTGGTGTTTCAATGATAGAAATCAGCATTTATGTAGGCTGGTTTTTAGTTTAGAGCCCCATTTTTGGCACAAAATCACTAACTTTTACGCGCAACAATCATTGAGGTTAAGAGCGCTAAAACCTGAGGCGCTTTTTTGCGCGTATTTACCAAAAACTATCCACTCTTAAATATACAGAAAGCCGTATTTAATTTAAGTTTCGATAGTGTTTTTTTAATGTAACAATTCACTTTTTCCATCATTGAAATTAATTTCTTTCCATAGGATAACAAAGGGCGCTATCATCAGAAACAAGGAAAATAGCGTATGAAATTTAAAAAAAGTTCCGTTCATGTGAGTTTGTCTACTTCATATTTAATAAATTAGCTTTTTGTTGTTTAGTTTTTACGTATTTATAACAAAAAAATAAAAACGTGTATTTATTTGAACGGCCCGTGCGAAGTCCTCGCTCGGTTAGTTCGCGCGGCTCCTGTCGAGGGCTTGTCACTATTGTTAACATGGCTCTCTTATCTCACTCTCCCTTGTCTCTCCTGTCATGGTTCGCACCATAGAGAAAGTAAAATATTTTATATCTTATTTTACTTAAAATATCTTATTTTACTTACTCTATGGTTCGCACTTATACTATACGGGCAAATATCAATCGATTAATGCGTGTTGTCGAACGTCCATTAAAGAAGCGAAACTTTGTTAGTAAATTTACACTTTGTTGGCTGCTAAATAATTTTCGAAAGAAAAAAAAAACGCTGTTAATCAGTCAAAACAAAAATAACGAAAACTGGCAGAAAGCAAAGAAATTATGCGAAACTATTCAAAATGTCTACAAAATGTGCCTAAAAAAAGCAGGTACAAACAAAATGCAGATTTAACAAATGCGCGAAATTTTCCGTACTGTTGCCCTGACAACACTTGACAGACCGGGGGGGATACGGCGTCTTTTCTTACCATCAGAAGTAAATTTCATAGAGAGCAAAGTGACCATAAACCGCTATTTATCTCAAATCACCACTGAGAAAAGTTTTTTGTAAGAGGATTTCCTATCAGACAAACATGTTTTTAAGCACGCAACTTTGGGCCTGATTTCCGAAAGTTGTGATTGTGAAAAACTGCAGGCTCTGGCAATACCGCATCGCTCAATAGGAGAAAATAACCTGAAAAATGAGCCTAACCTCGGTTGTAAACAGAACAATGTTTTAATCAAATTTGGCCCAAAAACCCGTTATATTCTATTCAGTATAGTGGCGAACCGATCAAATGGAAGCTCCGCGCAAAGAAACGGATGTAAATCTCAAATCCATCCTAAGTTCCCCAGTAAAACATACGCCAGCTGTTCCAGTGCCAGACTGGAGCCCCCCGACGCCTGTTCCAGCCCCGGACCTCACGGCAAGTTTCGTAGAATGGCCGTTTTAGCCCCCCATAACATTTAGCTGGTTGTTACAGAGCGGAAAGTCCAATCCCCGTGTGATCCAAGTCAGTATCCCTGGATTGCCCACTGGAGAGCCCTACACCAACATTGCGCTTCAGTAGGTGCCAATTTCAGTGGTAATTTGGGTTTGTTTGTTAAATGCGTGGGGTCTTCAGGAATTGTGTGGCAACTGTTGATATGCACACCACTCTGAACCTACAGCTGATCAATGCCAAGACAAGGAACACTGAATTCAACCCCCAGAGGTTCCATGGGCTTATAATGCGGATCAGGGAGCCGAAAACGACGGCGCTGATTTTCCGGTCCGGAAAAATCGTCTGCACTGGAGCCCGGAACGAGTTTGACGCCTTAATTGCTTCAAAGAAGTTTGCCAGAGTCATCCAGAAGCTCGGCTTTCATGTAAGTACTTTATATATAATTTGAGGCATTTTGAGTGTTGAGTTTTTTCGTCAGTCAAAAAATTAGGTAATTTCCCTGTAGGTAAATAGAGGCTTTCATTGGTAGTGTAATGGATTTTCGGTTCGTAGATCAAATTCGCCAACTTCAAAGTGCAAAACTTGGTTGCTACTTGCGATTTGAAATTTCCCATCAAATTGGAAAACTTGAATCACATGCACGGTCAATTCAGCAGGTCGGTAAATGAGACTCTTTGGGTGTTTGCCCGGTTTCCAATCCAGTGGTTTTTAGTTACGAGCCGGAACTGTTTCCCGGACTCGTTTACCGGATGATCAAACCCAAGATCGTTTTACTCATATTCGTTAATGGAAAGATCGTATTCACGGGCGGTAAATCCCGAGAAGACATCAAGGAAGCCCTAGAGAACATTCATCCCATATTGAGAAGCTTCCGGAAGAATTGATTCCCATTTTACAGGTTTTACCTCTTCACAATCAACAGGGTTTCGTTTATTCGTGTGTATTTGTATGGGCCTATTGTCGTTTAGTTAATAAAAATTTGTCATTCTAAATGAGTTGAATCATTCGCACCCGATTGCATTTAAATGGTAATTAATCCGCCCGCCCTGATGCTGCAGAGCACTGCGGGGGTAGATTTCACCTTTGACCTTTCAGCTGAATTTAATCCGAGAACAAATAGGTGTAGTTGATTTCTGCTGCTTTGGGGCGTAAAAGAATCAAATTGCTGTTTGTTCTAAACAACAGGCAGCACGTGCCCCTTCTTTGAAATATGAGCGTTCAATTAGAGGGCAACAAGATCTGCTGGAAGTAAGCGGCTTCCTAATGTTATCGATTTTCACCTGTTCAGTTTGTTTCGGGTTTGTAAGGCCATTTTATCACATTTAGCTACAAGATTGGACCAAAATATCATGTTTTTCGCCACCTTTTAGCTCATTTCTCAGGAACAGATGGAGCTGGACCGCTCATTTCTGTAGCAGTGGATAGATAGTGGCGCTTTTTGTACGTGAAGCATTGGCAGGTTTTTCAAAAAGGCTAAATTTGAAGAAAGGTGTTTGTTTTGGGTGGTTTTTTAAATCGCGAAATCGACTCAAACAACGCCGTGTTTTTGAATGATTGTCAATAATCATTTGAGCCACAGACGATGAAGAGTTGTAAACCCGATTTAGCATTTTTTACGTTTGTTCATGTTTTTCGATGAAAAATCAAATCTCTCAAAATTCCCGAAGCAACGCAAATATGAAGCTTCTTAGGTCGAAAGTATATTCTTTTAAGAATTGTGAAATTTTCATTTTATTACTGAAAATGTTATAAGTCTAAGTTTCGATGTCTCCGAAGAAAATCACTCCAAATGTGACAAACTCCGTAAATTTATCTAAGTCGGAAGCCCCTTAGGGCGAAAGCAATTAAAAAACTCTCACTTAAAATTTAAAAAAAATTGCCGAAAATTTCATAACGGTGGAGGTGGAGGTCGATGTTTTGGAAAAAAATAAATTTTCTCGAAATGCCCCAATTGAGTACAGCTGTTATTATCCTGAGTGTTGTGAAAGTTTCAATGTGATGAGAGGTTTTGATACATTTTCACGAATTTTTGAGAATGTCAAAATAAATCAACTCGTCCATCTCAACCGGTACATGTTGTGCACGAGTTTTCAAAAATTCCTTCTTAAATGCGCTAGACGAACATGTTTGCTGATGTCTGGTTAAATAGAACTGTGATTAGTCTAAACGATCTCAAAGTTTCATAGCGAGTGAAGATTTTGCAATAATTTGACGGTTTTTTTAAAATGGTGTTACCAAATCGTCCCTTTCAAGCTGCTCAACTGCAGACTAGTTTTCAAAAATTAATTACTCTTAAATGTCCACCACTAGAGAATTGTACTCCGTCGTACGAACTGACAGATCTCCAACCAATAGGAAATACTTTCGTATCATCGTACCATCGTATAAACGGATGCATAGGATCTGACAAATCTTTATGAATTTTAGAAAATATCGCTGTCAAATCGTCTGTTTCAAGCTTTGAAGGAAGTTTTCAAGGCTTTGAAAACTGCATTTATCTTAAATGTGCAATGCCAGCAAGTTGCTTGATATATGGTGAATTAGAGTTGTCATTTCACAAGCGTCTAGAAAGTGGCCGGAATGATTGCGCCAAACCAATCAGGGTCACTCTTTCTCCAACCAATCGGGGTCAGTTACTGGATTTATGGCGGGTATTTCAAAAAGAAGAAGAAACGTTTCCCGGTGGAAACATAAGATTTTGATCAAGAAAAGAATACGATAGATCCTCCCCATCCCCCCTAAAATTAGGTTTACATTATTTAAGGCTCCAAAAATTAATAATGTCTAAAAAAGGCGAGAATTGAAATTTTCAAAATATTTGATGGGTAGATAGTAGATTTGATCCGTACAATTAGACATAATACATTTTTCTTGCGTAAATTACGATAATTATACCTCGAAAGGGGTTAATTTTAGGACACATTGTTATAGGAAGAAAATGTATGCTAACTATGGAAAAAAATCGATGTCGTAAATTTTATTTTTGGTTCTAAACCCTTAAGGGACTTATAGTTATAGCTCTAAACTTATAGTTGAAAAGTCTTTAGATTCTCTACATGGACACAGAAGATATCATGTCTATCCTGAACTGTTTTCGAAATATTGACGTTTGAAAATAGCGATCTTGGTGATATCAACTTTTCATGTGGAGAAATATGTATTTTCTAACACACACTTTATTTCCTTATTAATTGTGTTTCCACATGTAAAATAATTTTTTTTGGCGAAAAATTAATGAAGGTGGAGGTGCAGGATGTTTTTTAAAAGAAATAAAATTTCTCAAAATACCTCAAACAACGCAAATAAGAATAATTGGGTATTTTTTAAGGTCGAACTCATGATGTTCAGCACAAAAAACGCGAATGAAATCTCTGAAAATTCCTCAAACATCGTAAATATTTTTAGCTTTTTAAATTGAAATAACTGAAAGTTTCTTAGATCGAAAATATTCCGTTGAGCGCAAAAAACGCGAATGTCAAATTTTCATTTTTTTACCGAAGATATCATAAGGGTGAGGGTCGATGTATTCGGAAAAACGTCGAAACTTGACAATCGCACATTTAGCTGCAAGTTTAAGGGAAAAATTAATATTTTCGCCACCTTTTTGCTCATTTCTGCGGAACAAATTGAGCAAGAAGGTGCATTTCTACACCATTGGACGGAGCACTAAATAAAATATTTATACATACGTGAAATATGCAAGCGGATAAAGAATAGATAATTCGAAAAGCCATTTTACTTTGATCTACAGCAATTATAAGGGATTAAGAAATGCAAATACCCCCATGTGTTTCAGCAAATACGATTGGAAGCCCTATTTTGCAAATCAGTTTGTTGTTATGTGTGGCCGATTTGCATAAATGAACATTCAGCAAACTTTCGATCGAAAATCCATGATCTCTGTTTGGTTTTGAGGCTGTTCGTTTAATTGAAAAGCCTTTCCTGCCAACAACCCGGAATTAATTCCATTAATTGAACGATTCTTACTGGATTTGGATGTTTGTTCCACTTCATTATGTACTCGGGATTTCGAGCAGAAAAACAACAGTTTTATCGCACAAAGACAGTGAAATAACGATGACGTCGGGCTGCAAGTTCCCGTTTTTGTGACGCCATTAAGTCTAGTCTACTCTACTCCCTATACGGGTTGCTGTATTTCTACGTTATAGTTTGTGCCAAGTTTTTGGCAGTGACGCAATAGTTGTTCTTTTTCTACTTCTTGTCCACCGGGCGAGACGGAAATTTGCTACAATTAGCGGAAGAATGGAAAGAATATTAACATTATTTGTTTGCTTTCGTGGCGAGTGTTGGCAGTTTCTGTGAATTTTTACAAATTTATCATTTCAATTTACCGATATATTTTCTGTTTGTGTGTGGGATATTTTCGGTTAGAGATCAAGTTCATAGCGTTAAACGCCTTTGGGTTCCCGTTCACCAGGTGTCTTCTACGATTGTTTTTTTTTACATTTACTTGTTTCCTTATGTCTTAATTTTTCACGTGTTTCAATCTAGATTTTCCCATCGATTCATTTCAACCGATAGTAAATTGTCTTGTAAAAGTTTATGTCGTAATTTTTATAATAATTAAGTTTTAGTATGGTATCATATATTCTTGTTTTTGTCTTTGGTCTCATGTTTTTCTGTCGTAATTTTGAGCTTAGTGTCCCTACCGCTTTTTTCTTCTTAATCCCAAATATATGCATTCATCAGCATCTCTTATTTTTTGATACTCTAGATTCATGTCATCGGCTGGTTCTTCCCCTACACACATATTTTGCGTTTTGTTTAAATTTACCTCTAGCCCCGATGTTTTTATTCGATAAGCGTTCTGGGCATGGACTCTAGGCCTTGCTTGTCTTGAGCAATTACCACTTGGTCATCTGGATGGTATAATGTATACAGGGTGTCCTACCGGGAACCGCCGCGATTGATATCTGGCAAACCGTAATTAGCAGAAATTTGAAAATTGGGCAGAGTGCGGAGGTCATTGGGGGCACGCCGCCTAAAATATTTTCAAGATGGCCAAACTTCCGGTTATACCGGAAGTGCGTATCAACTTGCTTATTTTAAATGGAACACCCTATATATAATTACATTTTTGAGTTCTACTCCAAATTCTAAATGTATTTTATGTATAATATTGTAACGGAAATGGCCTGGGGTACTCACGTTTGGAATGGGGGGATCGAAATTTATGGTATTTCAGTAAATGGGAGCCCCATTTGGGCCCCATTTACTGTCAAATATGACACTGACAAGCGGGAAGTTTGGCACCTGTTCTGGAGATTTCGAGAACTATCTGGGTTACCTGGAGGAAACTATATAAGCGACGAGGAGAACCAGACAAGGGGAGTGAAGTGACAGCAGCGTCCGAGTGCAGAAGAGGTTAAACTCCGGGAGTCGGAAGAGCGAGTTTTCCGCCTATTATTGTTATTGTTTGTGAAGTTGACGGTAATTTTGAAGTTAGTTTGTTCCTGTTCCGTAGTTAAAGTTGTACCGAGTGGAATAAAAGTTGGAAACTGAAGAAAGAGTTAGATACTCGGCCATCCACGGTACAATATCCTATACCTAAGTCTAACCGTTTTTGAGATATTTGAAATTTTATGTCAAAAATTACACTTGCAGACATTCTAATAATTATTCATTTTTCCTATAAGGGAATTTGTCATACTTAATTTGAGTCGCATTTATTGTTGAAAAGGAGTTACTTTGTCGAATTTCGAAAACATTTTGAAAACTATTAATATAAAGTGTTAAAGAAATAAGTTTCAAAATACAGTTGCGAAAACCGCCCAAAATCTTTTTTTTCAAATGGAAACCCCCATTTTTGATAATTTTCTCATATTCAGTATTAAAAATAACTGTAAGTTTGTGCAGCGATGTCTATTCCAAAAGTGTTCAGTTTTTGAAATATTGCCAATTTTATGTTTTCAGATGGCTATTTTGCAGCATCTTCTTTTAAATCCTGTCACTCTTAGTTGCCATGACGAAA